GTATTGTCATCTAATATTGTTGTTAATAGACAAATAAAATGGGATGAAATAAATTTCTCTGAAAATTAGGTTATACCCAACGCAGTACAATCCTTGCCAATTATTAATCAAGATATTAATCAAATTGTTCAAACAACAGATGGAGAGGTTGAAATAACATTCAATCCATCTAGAATTGTCAGAATATCTGACGTGGCAACATCTGCCAGAAATTCATTATCTCGATCTGGATCTTATAGAACCAGTTCTGTTCAAGGGATAAATATATCCGATAATAATATTCCTCATCCTTTATATAAGGATAAAGTTTCTCCTAATACGGAGATGAGTTTTAGAATGAAATAATAAATTTTGAAAAAGGTAGTCAAGGAAAATTCTTAATAAATAATTTTACCTAGAAAAATAAAGATTTTCTCAAAAGTTTTTCGAAAAAAGACCAATTAAATTGGGTAGACAAGTATTATACAGAACTTGAATATAAACAAGAAATTAAAAGTGTGTTTGGTAACCAAAGTGTTTCTTTTTGTAGTGTTTTTTTGAAAAACACCATACCATGGTGTTTATTTTTCAAAGGTGTTTTCAAAACACCATTTATAGTTATTATTTATATGGCGGCGATGACGACGACGGAAGGGCTGCGGCGCGTCAGAGCAGGCGGCGAGCGACACGACCGTCGGCGAGCGGCAGCACCGGCGGATAGCCGGCGGCCGGTCGACGCGATGACACTGCAGTGGCACTGAGACGGGCCTGTTGGCCGGCAGGAGTCAACGGGGCCGAGGGCGGCGCGGTTTACGGGTGGTTCGCACAGAGCCGAACCGTGGAGATGGTGCGGGATAACGCGTAACAGTTCCGGCGAATTATGAGCGGCCGTACGGGCAGGGCAGCAGGCTAGCCAGGTGACAGCCGGGCGTGCGGCAGTGTGCGGCAGTACGGGTGGTGGCTCCGCGGGCGGCGACGGGCTGACGAGCCAAGCGGTGGACGAGCGGACGGCCGCATGGGCAGCGACGGGTGGCGGCGGTGGCTGACGGCCGACGGGCAGCGGCGGCGACCGGCAGACGACGCGAAGGGCAGGCGTTTAGATGAAAAAACGAAGCTACAGGGCGACAGGTGGAGGACGGCCGACGGCAGCTGGCGGGGTGGCGACGGCGGGCGACAGGGGAGGGTGGCGGCAGGCGACGGGTGGTGGCGGCGGGGAGGCGGACGGCCGAGCGAGCAGCGGCGGGCGAGCGGGCGGCGGACGGGCGGCGGCTTAGATGAAAAAACGGAATCTCAAAACACCTTTTTGGTGTTTTAAGAAAACGTTTATTTTTTGGATTTTGTAAATGGTCAAGTCAAAAAATCGTCCCGGTTGTCAAACACGTTTCATTGTTTTTAAAAAAAAAACGAAAACGACAAAAACGCCATGCTTGCCAAACGCTTCCTAAATTTTTTGTTCCTTGGTTTTTAAAAAACTATATTTCTAGACAAAAAACTAGAATAAGTGTGTTAGAAGACCACTTAAAACAGTAAAAAACAACTACGGGTAGGATAATCCGATCTATTAATCCTCCAATTGACCCGTTACAATTAAAGGATGTTCATCCCTCTACTATAGAGGCTACGACTTTTATAAAAGCCAAACAAAATTAATGAAGAACACATGAAAGAATTGAGTAAAATTATAAAACAAAATAATTATACAAATATCCATCTTCAAACTTTAGGTGAACAAATAATTCGAATTGAAGATGTTTTAGATAAATTGTTATCCAAAATAAATGATGTTATACCATCATTAAGAATGCTTGAAAAAGCTAAAGTTTCTCATAGAAAAATAGAACAAACCAATATTAAACCACCAATTGACATTTCAGGATTTAAAAAAGACAGCGAGATAACTCCTAAAATTATAGATATTCTAGCCAAAAAATTAACTAATGCTAGAATTCATACACTTAATAAAGTGTTACCATCAACTTCTGCAGTTATATCTGAAGCAGAAGAAGAATCATCTAATACAGACAGTTCTGACGATATACCGTCAACAAAGTTACTTGCTGTAGAGAATAACTTTACAGAAATAAATAAAATTAAAAATCATCCTCGAAAAAGACTGGAATGTACTATTATAAAAAACCTACTCCAGCAGATGTTTTATTTGAAGAAAACGATGCCTATCTACAGGCAGATTACAATGGTAAAAATATCTACGAATGGAATATAGATGGGTTATCAGATACCCAAATCAATTCTACTATACATAGAATGCTCATGTATGGAACTATTTGTAAACAAAATGGAAAGAATGAAAGAATGATAGCTTCTTTCATACGAATGAAATATAGATGGGTTATCAGATACCCAAATCAATTCTACTATACATAGAATGCTCATGTATGGAACTACTTGTAAACAAAATGGAAATAATAAAAGAATGATAGTTTCTTTCATAACTTGTGGTTTTACTAGCATCCTTAAAGGATGGTGGGATAATTATCTTTCTGCTGAAGCTCGAAATGAAATTCTAGGAGCTACAAAAATAGAAAATGGAGTTCAGCAAGAAGCTGTTTATACACTAATGCTAGCAATAGCTCATCATTTTACTGATGCCTACCTTGATGAATGTGAAAGAATAAGGACTTTATTGCAAAATTTTAGATGTCCTTTAACATATTTTTGATGGTATAAAGATATTTATTTAAGTAGAGTTATGTCTCTAAGTGATGCTAATAGCTCATATTGAAAAGCCAAATTCATAGATGGCTTACCCACATTATTTGCAGAAAAAGTTCGAAATAAAATTCGATCTGAATATGGGGGATATATTCCCTATGGTAACCTATCATATGGGTATTTATCAAACGCCTGTATAAAAGAAGGCTTAGCTTTATGTAATGATTTAAAGCTTAAAAATCAATTAAAGTCTCAAAGACTTACAAAAAGAAAAAAATTAGGAGAATTCTGTGAACAATTCGCCTATGATCAACCTTATAAGGTTGATAAAGAAAATATTCCTGATAAAGGAAAAACTAAAAAATTATTTGAAAAGAAGAAGAGAAAATTCTTCAAAGAAAAAAAAGCCACAAAAGGCTAAAAAGAATCTACACTGTGCGTAGTGCAAGTCGCTTTCAGTTACTGTGTGTAGTGCAAGTCGCTTTCAGTTACTGTGTCTATAAATAAGAAGTTAGAGAGTGGAGTTTGTAAGCTTGACAGAAGAGAATAAAAATCTGAAAGAGAAGTCTGTATTTTGAGTGTTCCTCTGTAAAATAGTTATCTTGTAAAATATTTCGGAGATCAATAAAGATATTATTTTGAGTATTGGCGGTCGCACGCTGGAAATCTTCTTTCTTTTCTGAATTTTGTTTCCGCTTTCATTGTTGGCGGGTTATAGTAGTAGATTGCTATATTAGGTACTAGTATATGAGCGTAGTATTAAGTAATGAGCTCAGCTGATATATATAGGGTTGAGCCTAGTAGGTATATATATATATGTCGTGTGGTGTTGTGTGTGTGTGTGTGTGGTGGTGGTATGTGATATCAGTACGTATACTGTTGTCGTATGTATATATGTGTGTGTATATACGTTAGTATATGTGGGTAGTGGAGGTAAAGTATAGTGGTGACGGTAGTATATTAGAGAGAAAAATGGGGAGAAACGTTGGGGGGCTACCAAGTAGTGCGCTTGGGTAATGAGTGTGGCGCTGAATCAAGGTTCGCCTACATTCTACGATTTGGAGTTGCCGTGAAAGGTTAGTTGAGGTTTCTATCTTCGATGTGTGAGTGTAGGGGGCCAGATTTAGGCCAATCATACCAAGCTGCCTTGAAACAACTTGGGTACCAATGTTCTTCATTTTTCTGCAGTAATATATATGTACTAGTATAATATATAGTATATAGTATATGACTATAGGTTGAGTATAGGTTATAGTATGTATGAGATACTTATATATGAGAGTGGGAGAGAGGAGAGAGGAGGAGGAGAAGCATGATGGCGGTATTGCTTGGGTTACCACTGGGCAAGCGCACAAATAGTTATGCGTTGGGTTAGTGTGGTGTCAAATCCCCCTCACCTCATTCAATGTTGGGGAACAGAATCACATGAGTAGTGGAATGCGGATGAGGATGTGACACGTCACTACAGAAGTACAAATTGTGTTGGTACCAAGCATAGCCATATTTTCATGATAGGTATTCATAGTACAAATTTGTGTTTTGCGTAGCCAAGCGATACCGCAGGTTATGTGGTGCTCGCAGGTTATATATAGTAGGTAGTAGTAGTTAGGGTATTATAGGCTAGTAATTAGTATAATATATAGTACGCGTATTATATATGAGGTATTGACCTAGTTAGTATATATAGTATATAGGGTAGTATATATGAGTATAAAAATAAGCTATTCAGTATATGAGTGGCTTTGGCTGTGTTGCTAGTGTTTCATATTGTGTCTCCGGCGGAGGGGCACTGGCACAAATTTTTACCAAAAAGTTATTTCACTTAATAACCTTACATGGGAGTCTGCTTGTTCAGTCATAATTACAAAATCAATTTGACCTGAATAATTTTGTAAGACTTGCCAGTTGTGCCATATTGTTGCATGCATTAATGACAGCTATGGTGCTGGAATGACTCAAATCTGACTTGATAAGTAATCTGGTATCTAGATACTAATTGCCATTCTTATTTATTAAAGGAAGGATGATTAATTTGCATGATAATATTTCATAATCAAGCATTCCATGTACTCTTTGATATATGCAGGTATCTGTATAAAATGTTGATGATGTTATATTAACGTGGGAGATTTATTTCAATTTTACATACTATCACTGAAAAACTGAAAATTGCAGCTCTTGAGAGAAGATGATCTGTTAATACCAGATTTATATTTCTACTTTAATATATTTAACATAATTCAATTTTAATTATCTCCACCAAGAACACTGAAGTATGGAGTCCATTTGCTGATTAAGTGATTAGTCATGATATTTGTCAGGGATTTACTGACTTGGCCTTCTTACAGGTACAATATGGTTGAACAAGGTTTGGTTAAAGATCCTGTTTTCTCCTTCTGGTTGAACCGGAAAGCAGAGGATGGAGAGGGAGGGGAAATTGTTTTTGGAGGGATTGACCCAGCTCATCATAAGAGTGAGCACGTATATGTCCCTGTGTCTCAGAAGGGTTATTGGCAGGTGGGTCCCTGAGTTTTCCATTTCAGCAATGTAGAATACTATTTTTCATTATTAAAGCTTATACTTGTCAAGTATCTACAGTTGTTTTGATTACATAACTTTGTAAATGAAATTTATGAATGCAGTTTGACATGGGAGACGTCCTTGTTGGTGGACAGTCAACTGGTAATCATTTCGAACACCCTTTTCTGTAGTTTGACTTTCGTCTTGAATCAAAATTCCTATGACCTACTGAGATCCTGTCTCCATTTTGGCTTATCCAGGATTTTGTGCTGGAGGTTGTGCGGCAATTGCGGATTCTGGAACGTCTTTGATTGCGGGTCCTACAGTATGTATTAATACTCATCATTTGCATACTATATTTTCCTCGATCTATTCTTCTTCTTTTAGTAGGGTAATGCTATAAGAGTCTCAAATGTGTGCCAATAGACCTTCCATGTTCCTTCCATGTTCCCCAGGAGGAAGAAATAGGAGGGAAGTGCAAAACAGCAAGAAGTTGTCTGTTTGCTCCTAGCCCTCTTAATTCTTTCGTGGGAAGATGTAAAGTACTCATCCATACCAGAATGATGTGTTCATACCATTTTTTCTCTTTACTACGAACAAAGTTGTCATCTTGAAAGTTGAGTTATCAACTTTTCTATCGGTGTTGCCATATTGACTGTTGATTCCCAGGATATAAGTTGCTTCTTTTTTGTAACACGTGGTATCTATGTGAGCATATGGTAGCTGGCTGCAAAATATCATTTCATTGTTTTACTATGTTGTGCAATATAAAACTTGGAGTTCATCAAAATTATATATAATGTGATATGCTTTAAAATCATCACACAGTATCTGAAATATGTTTTGTAAAATCTTAAGTTAAACATGAGGGCAAGTAACGTAGAAATATGAGGCTGCTTCTATATCATCGTACCACCAGAGCCTTACACTTGCTCCAGCTACCTGCAAACTGTTCCCAACTCAAAAGTCTCCCTAGTCCCCAACTGTTCATGTCCTTGTACATCTGTTATTTACCTTTTTTTACTCTATAAATTCTCTCTTAACATTTTTTACTGAACCTTCTTCAGCTCTGTACATGAGCAGAGGTTTTCTAGAATGGGAGAGTAACAGAAGCACATTACATGTCAGTTGTTCTATTTTTTTTTGTTTCTATAACCTTATATTCTAATGAGAAAGTGATATCTCAAATTTCCTAAAAGCAATCATTTTATATAGGTGCATATATAATGATGCCAAGTAGGTTGTAGACATTGTGCTTACTGTTTTCTCATTTTCCGGTTGTAATTAAATAAACAATGACTACGTTTTGTAGTGCATGCAGCTTTTCCTATGAGATTATTTCTGATCACTAGGCAATTTTTTCTATAATAGTTGCCTTACAACCACATTGTCAATGCCATAATTTGGCACAAAGCTGATATTGAGGCGGTAGCAACACACCATATTCTCATAAATTTACCTTGGATATGCCATGGTATGTCGGTCATGAAGTTGTGCTTTCTTTCTCAGGATTTCGGATAACAACCTGTTCTGCAGTGTTCCCAATGATTGACATCTTGAAGATGTTTCACGTTAGAATGTCTTGGAAATTATAATTCAGTAGGGAACCCGGAGAACATCTGTGTTTTGGGCTTTTTAGTCTGTCATTTATAAATTTTGATCCCTTAATTGTCACTCGCCAAGTTCTTTGGCCTGCAAGGAATACATATTTTGCAGGTTTCAGGTTACTTTTCCCATCTGGGTGCTGTGCTAGTTGAATCAGGTTTTAATAGCAGCCTACGCTAAAAAATAGACATATATAGATGTGTTCTTAAACAGGGTTAACCAATAACCAGTTAAGTAGAGGGTTCATATATAGAGATGCCAGGGACTAACTTATTAGTTAAAATCACATTTCTGTGGGTGCTGATCTTTTGATGGGACCTAATGGACCTTCTCGACCTTCTCAATGCCCTTTCACATTTATAGGTGATTCAATTCCTCTGTGATAGATTTTAGTGATTCTTGAGTAATGTGAATTTTTAAGGGGAAAAAGTTATGACTTGTAAGCTTCCAGCCTTCCATTTACCTTTACTGAATCAGATATTGAATTTAATGTTTCACTAGTTATATAGTCAGCAGTCAGCATGATGTTCTTCTAGGTATTACAGGCAGGTTGCCTTGTAATTTTAAGCCACCATCTCTCTTGCAGACCATTGTTGCTGAAATTAATCAAAAGATTGGAGCTGCTGGAGTTGTCAGCCAAGAGTGTAAAACTGTGGTCGCACAGTATGGTGAACAGATTTTGGATATGCTCCTGACTGAGGTTTTTTTTTCCTTAAGTTTTTTGATTAGTCTGTTTGCTGAAATGATTTGCTGACGCTAAACCTATTTTTGACCATTATGACCTATCCAACAGACACAACCAATGAAAATTTGCTCTCAAATCGGTCTATGTGCCTTTGATGGAACACGGGGAGTGAGGTTAATATCTTGGAACCTGAAATTCTACCAAATTTATTAAATATTTAAATTTGTAATTCTTTTTGAAGTAATTCATTATATGATTCTGATTGCAATCCCCCTCCTTTTTCTCTCTCTAGTATTGGTATTGAAAGTGTGGTGAATAATGGAGACAAATCATCCGTTGGAAGCGATCTTATGTGCAATGCTTGTGAGATGGCGGTTGTATGGATGCAAAATCAGCTCAAGCAGAACCAAACACAGGAAGCGATATTGAACTACATCAATCAGGTGAATCTTCTTTCTACTGAGCTGTATACCGGAATGCTATTCAATTACTGTACTTTAAATTGTATATCGGAATGCTATTCAATTATTGTACTTTAAATCGTGTCTTTTATTTATATTACAGCTATGTGAACGATTGCCTAGTCCTATGGGAGAATCAGCTGTTGAATGTAGTGCCCTGTCCTCTATGCCTAGTATATCTTTCACTATTGGTGGCAAGACATTTGAGCTCACACCGGAGCAGGTAAGGACAACATATCATATTTTATAATGATAACTGAGAAGAATTTCATTTTCTTGTCACTAGGCTTGTGGTTGCATACTGTCTATCATCTATGCTCTACTTTATAATTTATTGCGTGTTAAGGAAACTTAGTTGTTCGTCAATTGTACCATTTTGTATAATTTTTCTATGCATTTATATTCGTTAACAATGTTGTATACTCCTTCGAGTTCCCTCAAATCATAAATGCTCACAAGCCCAACCCCACCAAATCGTAAAACCTTTGTTGTCCTTGTAATCAGACTGCTAAAGTAGACTTGGTGTAGCAATAAAAAGAATACTAAGATTGTGCAAAGAGGACTGTAGTTAGTTCACATTTTAGTACAACCTGAATCTGTAATGCATTTTAAAACCATTTATTCGATTCATCATCGTCGTTTTGTTGGGAATTTTTGTGTTCCTTGATGCATAAATCATTCTAAAAATAACACATTCAACCTTATCATTAAAGCTTAAAGGTTCAGGACTTTTATTGGTGTATCTTTTATTGAGTTTAACACTTAATCTGTATCTAAGAGATGGTTGCCACTTGCCATACATTTAGCTATGCATCTTCTTTCTTACAAGGCTACAACTAATCTTCTATTGACAATATGCTATTTATTTACTGCTGGAGATTCTATGTTGCAAAACTTGCTGGGTACTTTAATACAGGTGACGTGCCTATATTAGATACATATTCAATATTTGGATATTCCTATAACACATCTAAAAAAGTTATAGGCTTTTCACACATTTAAAAAACTCTAAGAACGTATCCCACATTAAGAAGTTAAAGATCTAGCGAAGCTCCATTTGTTTAGATGATAATAGTTCACATAATCATAATTGTTCTCATAATTATTGATTTACAAAACTTAATGATGTTTTATCTTACCTAAGATATTGTGTTTCTCAACTTCTATGGACTTATAAAACTATATTATAGATAAATAACTTTGTAGACATATTGTCATATCCGCACGTTCCCAAATCTTAGATTTTGGGTTGGAACTTACCATGGAGCGTCTACCTTCAGCCTCTCAACAGATTTTCCAGATTCGTTGTTTACGTTTTGCACTTAGTGCTGAATGTTGTTCTCCTCAGTGTTTTGAATTTTTAGCTTATTGTGTTCATGGTGTCTTGCCTGGGAATTAGGATTCATGGTACTGTATAATCTAGCTTGGCTGGGAATTAGGATTGTTCACTATTTATGTCTAGGATCGATGTAAGCTCCATGTAAATAACAGTTGTGTGAGTTCTCATCATCTGATTCTTTTCTGCTTTGCAGTATGTTCTCAAGGTTGGTGAAGGTCCTGTCGAGCAGTGCATCAGTGGATTTATAGCCATGGATATACCTCCTCCTCGTGGTCCTCTCTGGTAGACCTCCCTTTTTCATGCTTTATTGGTTTTACTTTCCAGGCTTTATTGATGTTATTATAAGTTTTGGAAAAGATTAAATCTCACAAAAACCCTAGAACTTTGGAGAGCCTTTCACATAAACCCCTGAACTTTTTAAATTGTAGAAAACCCCCTTTAACTTGTCTCACGTAAGATCATGACCGACGAGACTTATTTTAAGTTACATGCTCCGCACTAGACGACCTCTGGAAAATTTACCTCCGTATGTTCTAAATATGACTTCTATTGTACCCTTTCTCGTGTAAGGATATGTAAAAGGTAAAAGGGTAGTGTAGTTCAGTGCAGTTTATGATAATTTCCACTAGTTTGATAGAGTTTAGTGTAGTTTTGATGCTCAAGGAAACTGCGCTCTAATTTGAATCGTGCGGTTTTCAGGATTCTTGGTGATGTTTTCATGGGAGTTTATCACACGGTGTTTGACTATGGCAACATGAGGGTTGGGTTCGCAGAGGCGGCTTAACAGATGGCATGAGCAGATATCACCTTATCGATATGTACCCGAGACTTTTTAAAGGGGTTGTACTGTTATATGTGTGTATATATATACATGAAGTAAGTTAAGGTGGCCCACATACGTAATTACAGGCGCCCGATAAATTTGGAAGGTGGCCCAATTATGTATAACAAAACTCCTGCTTTTGCTGCAGATTGCTTTTTTTAGATGATCTCCTTACTGGCCCTTATTCGAATAAGGGCCAGTAAGGAGATCATCTAAAAAAAGCAATCTGCGGCAAAAGCAGGAATTTTATTATACATATTTGGGCCACCTTCCAAATTTATCGGGCCGAATAAGGTTATGGTGTTTCATCTTTATCTCCCTCTCCGGACGACGACGGAGGAGCTGGATTATTTTGAGGTCGGTGTGCTGCCAGAAGGAAGTGGCCCGAGTTGGTCAGCTAGCTGAGATAACCAGCAGCGATTAAATTTCGCGTCTGGCGTACGCAGAAGCTAATTATTATTATTTTTAGCTCAACCGCCGCTTCGTCATCTTCTTCTCACCTTCTTAAGGGTCCATATGCGTGTAACTTGTATCTATTGTTGTTTTGAGCTTACTATCCCTCTGTGGTTTTATTTTTGCTGATATTTCCTTTGTAAAGTTTAGTCATGTAGAAGCACGTGGGATCCATGTGCTACATCCCACGGGGGTTCATCAGCCAAAATGAAACTAGAGGGATGGTAAGTTCAGAACAGCGTTATGAGAGGGGTATGTACGCAATTAAGCTTTCCCTCAGAGAAGGAGTTAATCTTCACTTTAGCATAACTTACCAAAATACCAGTTAAAAAGCAAGCGACGTCCGTTCGAGAGTAGAGAAGAGAAAAAGAACGACCTCTATTAGCCTTTTCGGTCATAAAATTTCGTTGACTGTCTTAGTTCATCCACATGTTGTTCGTTCCAGGTGGTTATTATTATTGTCATAGCTCTGATGCTGTTACCTGCTTTGTTGCGTTAAAATCGTAATCTGGATCTTGATTAGTTGAGGTAGAAGAATTAATAGATGCACGCTCCAAAAGTCTTAAAGACTGACTCGTGAGAAGTTCGACCGACTCAACAATCACCATCAATTACGTCGGACAAATTGGACTTGTGATTGCCACTTGGGCCCCCCCCCTCCTTTCTCCCCACAAAGTCAACAACTGTAGACAGAATAAGCCACAGTTTCCACACCTGTATTAATAGATCACTAATTATTAAGATTTAATTTTGCACCGAAATATATATAACAAATGAGAGAATTTTAGGAAGTAGTCAGTTTTTCTCCAAATTAGCTAGTAGGTCTCGTTGTATTGTTCTATAATGCCGTCCGTCCTGTTTTAACAAGGCAAACATTAAAAATATTTATGTTTGATTGTGAATATTAATCTATAGAGTTTGCAATGTACGTGTCAAAAGGTGATCAATTAGTTTTAAAAACGTGCCGTACGAGTGAAGGCATGCATGCTTGCTTGCGTCCGCTGCTTGAGAAGTCGCAAGCTTTACAACTTTGATAATCGATGTTGGTTTTTGTGGACACCTTTTCTTCCTTGATTTCCTTAATTAGGAAATTGGGGGGCCCCCTTTTGATTTACCAGGACAAGATTTCTCTATAACCAAAAGCTCTTTGACCCTATATATAACTTGGAGGTCAGTTTGGGGAAAATAAAACTATTAACTTGCATGAAAAGTAGTTTATTGCTGTAGATTGACTCTCTTGAGTGATTTTTTCTGACGCTTTTACCCTTGGAGAAAGGAACTTGTATTAATTTTCGACGTAGAGACTTCTTGATGGTAAAAAAAATCAAAGAAAATTTCACGCAGGGGTCTATACACAAATAATCCTATTTTTTCATTGGTAGAACTGGTGCATGGTGTTCTAGTTTTAGCCACTTTAAACCATATGCCTGTGGTCCACACACTTGAATCGCGCGCGCGCACACACAAGAAAAAGAAAAAAAAAAGAAAAAAAGAAGAAGATGAAATGTATTCCATAGCCTCTTGTGGCGTACGAATTGACAGTCTTACAGATGCAGAAAATCAAGTTTCTCTTCGAAAACTAAGTCCAAGTCTAACAAGTGTCAACAAATGATGGAAAATAAAATGGAAAAAAAGAAGAAATTAAGTTGCACATTAATATTTTCTAAAATTCAAACCATCAGACTACAGATATATGATATTCAGGTGTATTAATGCATAGACTTTATGGTAAGAATGTCGCTCAACAATTTAGAATAATTATATAATATAATCTACTTAGTTCTAGCTAAAAATATTACTTCTTTTCTCTCGTTTTACACATAATAACTTATAATTATTTATGTGTTGATGACTAATATCAAACAGCCAGTTGTATCCAAAATAGGATAGGTTCGGTTTAGTATTGAAGAGGGGCCGTTTCTTTCCATGACTTTATGTCCGATTCTTGAATTGGGGTGTTAATCAATCTGCACATATAGAAACTCGTAAGAGGGCGGAGATTAGTTTCACCGTTGTACCTCCAACGATCAAGTTAGCTGATGGACTTGAGTGAGAAAAGTAAGAACTGAAAAGTAAGAAACTATGTGTTCTAAAGTTAGATTTCTTCAAAAAAAAAAAGTCCTCCTACAAGTTCGAATGATACCTGTATTTATACCCGGACCGCGAGGGGTAAATTGGTCACTTCGGTCGAGCACAGTGAGGCGGTGGTGAAGTGCGGGTTGGCAGCTGAGTCAGCTTTTGTTTTACAGGTGTCGGCTGACGACTGGAGGGTAGACCACTTCAACATTAAATGAGAAGTGATCAGCGATGGGACATCGGCCCACGTGGTCCGATGAGTCATGAAGACTATCGGGGCCAGAGAAATAATGCGCCTGTCATGCATTAATTGCGATGCAGACATGTAGCCAATGAGGATAGCTTCGTCGAAAAGTAACGCCGTTTCAAGGCGGTTTCAAGAGGTGTTCTGGACGAGTAGTCGAGCATGCTCTTGGCGAGTCATCCAGGACTAGAGGACCAACTAACACCCGCCTTTCGTGTCGTCATGGAAGAATGTCGACTTGACGAATCGACTGGGTCAGATTCTAGGGGATCTGGATCATCCAGTTGAGCGGGGCAAGATACATGTATAAGGATACATCTATTTGTTTGCCAATACGTATAAGTCGTATGCCCATGGGCGGGAATACTATAACATTATGGAGTCCACGTTTTATCCGAACCGTCTTCATGCGAAGAGCGGCTCTAACCTCTCGATTGACAAAATAGGGGCACGATGGACATTCCATCATCCGCTCAAAGGGTCAAAATCGCGCGCTCAGATGTTGAAGGTGCAGGTGGGAGGTCGGTCTTGTTCCTACGCCAAGGGAGGCATCGGATGTTTTTTTATTAAATAAAAAAGGATTAATGAGTCACCCCGTATACTCTTGTTTTCACATGAAATGATATAAGCCAAAAGGGTCAAAAACTCAAAGGAGACTCAAAAGCAAACGAAACGTGTCAAAAATGAGAAATGCCGAGTCCTCTCTGTAGAGTGCGGGTCCGGTCACCTCCCCTAGCTCTCTTCATGAGTTCCAGATGTAGACCAGTCCCAAAGCCCTTTGGACGTTGGATGTGGACACTTTCCCCTCCGTCGTCGAACGCGGCGGCCCAATAGCAATCTCGCGGGGGCGGGGGGTTCCATTCGGCCCATTAAGATATAACAAAGAAAATTAGAAGCGGTCAAATCTCAGATCCCTTTTGACTCCCTCCTCCTCTACCCGCCGTTTTCTTAATTTACCGCCACCTGTCGTCGATCTCCCAAGATCCTAAGTCTACGCTCCTCCCTCTTTATAAAAACCCCTCAAGACTTCGTAGACGTCACTTAGCTTCTCCCTCTGGATCTCTCCGGCTTGCAATTAACTGTACGTACGTGATCAAAGTGCTGGTATATATGGAGAGGGGTGGGGTAGGGCTCATATTGGATACTTCTTCCTTCGTGGTTTCTGGCGGCTCTCATGTGGAGTACTCGTCCAATCGCCTGTTCTCGAACCGTAGCAGGGTTCCTGACGAGATGGATTTTTTCTCCAAGAAACCGTCGCCGCCTGC